TGGGTGTATGTCGTTCGGCCAAAAACAAAATATTAAATTTAATTGGCCTTTTTGTTTTGAAGTTTAGAGTGAAATATTAAATAAGGAAAGAATTAAAAATAATGTATCTGATGTTGAAATACGAAACAAAATAATAACACACATATATAAATGTTCTGTATATATCCATAATGTCCATTTGATAATATTTAGATGTCAAAATATAAGATTTTTATTGTTTTTGTTTTTGAAAACGTGAGTCATGTGTCACCCCATTTGAAAACGAATTAAGACAGATGCGAAACCCATTTGAAAACGAATTAAGAAAGATGCGACATGGGGACATCAAATTAAAGATTCTGGCTAATCCATCCTAAACCATTGGAGATTAAATACCAGGTTCTTATTCTAAGTCACTAAATTAAAATTCGGATTCAATTGCCCAAAAGCATAGAGGATATCGGCAATTCTGCATTAACAAATCAAAACTCTAGCATATCGGCAATTCTGCATTACAAAATCAAAACTCTAATGTTATACAATACCACCAATGCAATCTATAAACACTTAATATGCACAACACACCACTTCATTTCTAAACACAATTGATACATAAATCCATCCAATACATATAATCCTTTTAAGACCAGTAAATCCACAATCCACAATCTCATATCGCATACTGATCATCAAACAAAAATTTAATTAAAAAAGGCACTATTTCCGAAACTTCTACCCAAAAAAACATAGAATAGTAAGATAAAGAAACTTACTATTGGTTGTGTTATGTGTGGTATATTGATGAAAGCTGTCAAGTGATAGAATTTGAGGTGGGTCTGACTCCTCACTCAATAAAGTCTTGTCAGGAGAGAATTATCCCCTCTATAACTAGTAGACTTGAGCGTGCCTAATCGTGTGGGACTCCAACACTCCCCCTCACGGCAAGCCCATATTTTCAACGTGTCTAGTCGGTGTAGGATCCAACACTCCCCCTCATGGTCAAGCCCATATGTTGGGTCATGTCTGTTGATGGAGGTAGTTGTTGGCTCTAACTCCCCACCCGCTGGTTAAGCACTCAGCTCAACTGAGTCTAGCTCTGATACCATGATCGAATTTGAGGTGGCTCGACTCCTACCCAATAACGTATTGTTGAATGGGAGGTTTATCTCTTTTATAAATCAGTAGGCTTGAGTGTGCCTAGTCGGTGTGGGACTCCACACAAGACTCTTCAATACTAAGATTAAAAAATTTACGATTTTAGGAATGGAAAATCATAAAAGTGGAAGATGGAAGAATGTAATGAGCCACAACTAGGGGTGTTCAAAACCAGTTAACCGTCCGAATCCCACCTTTTTCAAACCGAACCAGATTTCTGGTTTAGGGAATTCTAGAACCGAAATCAACTGATTATAAGGCAAACCGATTATAAACTAGACCGATTTACTAGTTAACTGATTACTTAAAATCGGTTAACTGGTTTTGGACCGGTTTTGCTAAACTCCACTAGTAGGATTACTGAGGTAATGTCAACTAATATTACTTGATTACCACGTTTGATTGTCAATTAATACAATATTCCGGTAATCTTTCAATACCATAGTAGTTACTGTTGGTATATAGGAAGTAATTTAATTAGTTTCATTTTCTTAGGTTAGTTAATTACTGGTAGCTTATTTTTGTTACAATTTTACCCTTCACTATTAAAATTTTTTGAACAATAATCCCTTATTTTGAAATTAATTTACATGAACTCTACCATTACATTTTACCCCTAAATAATTAAAGTTTTGACAGTAATGCCCCTGTTTAAACAATTTACAAGCATCCAAGAGGACTGTTGTACCACCACCACCACCACTATCGGCCAATGTCGTCAAATGCACGACTGGCCGGTCGTGCGTCGACATGGCTTTTCCACTATATCATGGCTTAAACGGCAAAATGGCCGTGGATTTAAGATTTTTTGGGTTGGCAGCTACTGGTTTTGCCAATCTGGGTTGATTCCTCTATTACCATCAACCCAACCACCACCATCTTACTCTCTCTCGTTGTCCTCTTCAAATCCCACCAAACCCATCACCAGAGCTGCCCCCAATCGCAGCAAGCCCACTATTTTTTCTGTGATTCTCTTTTTCTCAGTGCTTTTTCGGTCACGTTTCTACCGAAAATCACCCTACTTGCACTAATCGACTCCCTTCACTTCTACTTCAAAACCCACCAACACCTATCACCGGACCTCCCCCAATCGTGGCGAGCCCCTATTTTTTGCGCAATTTTCTCTTTTTCTTGGCACTTTTTTGGTCCGTTTTCTACCGGGAATCACCCCCACTTGCACCAATCAACTCCCCTTCCCCTCCTCTTCAAAACCCTCAAAACATCTCCGTTGTACTCTAGTCACAACAGGTGGTGGTTTAGGCGATTGGCAGGGCTGGGTGAGTGGGGTATTTTTGTTAAAAATTAAACTTTTATATGATGGAGTGTTTTAGCAAAATCTCAAATGTAGGGGGTTAAAAGAATAATTCAAAAAAATAATATATTATTAATATTTAAAAGAGAACAATTTAGTATCCATTAACATGCCTACCATTTATTTCCCCCAACTAACATATAATATACATACTCATCAATTTATTCCAACCAACCAAACACATGTTCCTAATTCTCACATTTAATATAACATACTCACATTATTTATTCCAACCAACAATGTTCCTAAACTTCTCAGTAATCTTCAAAGTAACCTTTCTTTCCTAAATAACATTTTCAATATCAACATTCCTAATATTTAAACACTTAATCTTCTTCTTTGCCGAAAATGATAAGATGTAGCATCTTCGCTGGACTTGAGTGCTCCATCTGAAGTGAAGAACGATTAACCTCAAATACAATTAACCTGATTATCAAATACACAACACAATACACACGATCAAACAAAGAAACAATCAACAAAAAGAAAAAAAGTTAAAATCCATAGTGAACTATAAATTCACACTCTTTTAAATAGCTTACAAACAATTAAAACCACTAGATGAACATTGAAATCCACTAAAAGGTAAAGAAACAATAAAACAACCCAATAACTGAAAAAATTTACCAATTACTGTAGAATCAAAACTAAAGTTTATTGTTATCAAAAAAAAAAAAAAAAAAAAAAAAAAAAAAAAAAACCACTAAATTTATAGTTTTCGATTACAGCTTCAACTGCTTTGGCTTTTGTCTCAACCCATGCTGGTTAGATCTCTAATGTAACTTTCTTCTCTCTCTTTAGCTGCTTTGGCTTTGGCTTTCTTCCCGCTCTCTTCTTTTTCTAACATTAACCCAGCATACCGAAGTGAAGTGGTCTTAAGAACGAAACGAATGAAGTGGTCTTAAGAGAAGACGAAGTGAATGGTTTGAGTTGGTTGGAGGGAAGAAGGAAGAACAAAGTGACGTGGTCTGCGTGTTGAATGTGGCGTAATGAAGTAATGAGAAATACAATTGGGGATTAGGTTTTTAGTTGAAAACGGTTCAAATTTTGTTGACCTAGTACCCGAACCAAAAAACCTTTTCAAACATTTTCTTGAATCAAATCGAACTGGTTTCATTAAAAACCGATTTTCAGTCTAGTTACTGATTCTATACCGGTTCATTCGTTTACGAAGTTCTTTGAACAGCCCTAATCGCAACACCACAATGAGAAGATAATTAGGGATAGGGATTTACCGTTACAAAATTATGATTTAGGCTTTACCTTTTAGACATTTACCTTTTTTTTTTTTTTTCAGGGGTACTTGTGGGCTAGCTGCCCCACCTGAAAAGAAAAAAAAGGGTCTGGCTGTACAGGTAAAATAAAAACAAGTCCAAAATGGTGGACTCGTACCCTATATTATTTTGATAGGTACGGGTCCACCCGCGAGTATGGACTCGTTTTGCCAAGTCTACTCGCACTAAGCCGAAACACATTTTTGGTGGCAACATATATATAAACTACATAGAATAGCAAAGATTTGATGATTTCAAAAGTGAAATTGTCAGTACAAAGGGTTTTGTAGCTCACACTAATGAGATGAAAATCTTGGAAACTAATGATGGACAAGAAACTCAACTGAATTTTGAAACTATTGATGGATGAAAATTCGGAGGATAATACTACACTTATAACCCAATTTCACAACCCTCAGTTGCAGTTCGCAATTAATTAACTTGCAATGGATCCTGCCCGCCTAATTGCGGTTGACCAATTCGAGCTACCATATCGAGGTTTTGAAAGAAAGTTTGTAAGTCAATCTTTATTGTAACAGAAACTAATGGTAAACAGAAAACAGATCAATGAATCAAATGCTAATGGGCAGTAGCAAATTGCCGGTATGTGAGATGCACCGCTTTTCTTGTCTGGCAAAGCTTATGTAAGATTCTTGTAAAAGTCATAACTAGAATATAATCAACATATGATCCTTGAAAATTAATACAATCTAATATGAATCAACAGAATCTAACACCTCACAATTACACAACATATGCTGGCCTGTGAAATGGACAAAGTTTTTAAGTACTGATTATCTCTATGCCCAATAATTGTTAAAAGTAAAGTGGCAGGATTCAGTTTAGGCACTTGCCTCTTGAAATCCATCGTATGACAATGACGTTAAAGCTAGTTTGCAGCAGCATTTTCTGCTTGTTTTAGATATTTGAAGACCTAGGCTCTCAAAATTGGTGCCCATCAACTGTAACTGCAGCCTTAAGTACGGGGCATGAGCTGGGCCCTCTGTTACACTGGCATACACTGGCGACTGAAGCATAAAAATTCTGCAGCTGCAATTGTATTGCATTTGTATCCAGTGATACCCTTTAAAGAGGTAAGCATTTTGTATTGCCTCAGCAGGGACATCCAAAGTATGTCTCAAGTAAGACATTCAAACCAGATAGAGATGACTCAAGCTCAGAGCAAGCATGAGTAAATGCTTGTATGATGAGAATCCAGATTCAGCACAAGATGGGCTTGTAGCACTAGCACTTGCAGCAACTTTAATTCACCACAATCTCAGAGCAAGCATGAGTAAATGCTTGTAATTGATGAGAATCCAGATTCAGCACAAGAGTTGGCTTGTAGCACTAGCACTTGCAGCAACTTTAATTCAGCCACAATCTCAGAGCAAGCATGAGTAAATGCTTGTAATTGATGAGAATCCAGATTCAGCACAAGAGTTGGCTTGTAGCACTAGCACTTGCAGCAACTTTAGTTCAGCCACAATCTCCCTGCCAGGTAACGTAAATTCATATGGATCAATTAAAGAATCAAATATCTACAAAGTACAACAGGCAACATTACCATGCTGACTCAAATCAAGCATATCTAACATTAATAAATATTGTTCTCATATGACTCACTTGTAGACAGGAAGAATCTTGCCAATAAGGGAATTAAGGGAAAAGGATTTCTTCACACCCTCTGCTGGTTTAGACAAGGACAGGAACAGTATCAACTCAAAGCTGCAGCTGAGAAAAGCAAAGAAAGAGAAAATTAGTGAATCAATAAATGCATAGGAAGTTAAGAAATTATATAACTCAAAACATCATTAATCATTTGACGTATATTTGTCAAAAAATAAAATAAAAATCCCTTAATTGAACATCAAGGACACAAACTGGAAATCTTCTGATACAATCCAAAAGTTTATCAATATCCTTAATTTACAAAAGTTATACAATAAAAGCAAAATCATAAAGTTCAAAAGTATTGTTGTTAAATCTAATGCTTGAAAACATTGAAGATTAATATGAACCCCTGTATATTTCATTTGGTTGAGTTTATGCATACCCTAGAAATGAAAACTTCCGTTTTGATTTCACAAAATCACAAATGTACTTTTAATCTATATGTATTTGATCATTTTTTAAGTACATCATTCATGTTACAATACAATATCAATAGTATCTAATCAAACTTATGGCTTTGGTCATGGATATAATGATTGTAGTCAAATCATATGTGACTTTGCTTTTTAACAATTGTAACTTTTATAAGATGAAATCCGTCCACGTAGTACAACATTTGTGCAAAACTACAATGCACAATCAATTAATGTACCAGACTATTATCAAGTACTTGTTTTAAACAAATGATGCAATAACCTTTTATCTATCAGAAAAATATTATCTAAAATTTTCAGAGAGCTAATCAATAAACATTGGATAGAAATGGAAGCAGTGCAACAAAGCAAGATGTGCAACATGAAAGGTGACTATTTCCTTCTAACCTGAAGCAGTCAAAAAAGCAGAAAAGATAATTGATCTCTATACTGAAGCAGTCAAAAAAGCAGAAAAGATATGTGATCTCTATATTGATCTACATTAGGGTTGGCTCACAGCAGCATAGTCAATTCGAAGAGTTCAGCATGCATTAACCTTAAGGCTAATGCAACTCAGTAAGTTCACGCCCTAAATGAATATCATGTTGAACCACAATTTCTTGAATTATTTTTCTTTCCTTTTTCTTCTGTGTCTGTGTGTAATCAGAAGACTTGAAATTAAAAGCAAAGGTGAGAAAAGAGTCTCCAGGGGTGTACAAACAGACTCACACCTAATGCCAATTTCTTGATTAATAAGCCATGGAGAAAGACCTCAACTTTTGCTCCTTACATTCTTAAGTAATATAACAGTTAAAATACAATAGCTAGCAGAAGTTATAATATTTGGTAAAACTCATAATGAATCTAGTTGGCTGTCGGTCCTAGCAGCAACGCATGCATTACTTGCTCAATAGAAGATATGATGTCATTTACACTTTATCAAGAAGATTAAAGGACTAGATAAAGAAGAGCTTACTCAAACTATAATCTCTAGACTGCAACTAATACATCAAGTCCTCAGTAAATTGCATCTTTAACTTCGCCATGCACCTTGGTCATCAACTATATTGAGTTAGATTTATCTAAGCTCACGCTCTGTAACATGAGAGATTCAGCTACTCAAAAATCTAAAAGAATAAAATAAATAAATAAGAATAAAGAAACACTCATTCAAGCTACCTGCAGCTAAGAAAATGGAACTGCTTTAATTCTAAACCACACAGATTAGGTGGAAAAGAGTTGAGCATCTACACACATTAGTTTCGCAGTTTCCCATGTATTTCACGCATCAGTAAACTTGAGTTATCAACAATGCGTTTGCTTTCAAACACTAAATCTCTCCAAAGTTCATGCCTAGGTGCTGGTTTAAGATATCTTAATTGCTTGAGAGGTTCTGAAATTACAGAGTTACTACACACCTCCCTTGCTGGTTGGACATGTTCCCACCAAAAATCAGAGAGTGCAATTTTCAAAACATCCCAGTACTCTGAATCTCTGTATAACCTGAATAAACTACTACCTTTAGGTGTCCAAACGTAAAAATCCATCCAATCCCTGTCTAAGATTTCCATTAAGCCCTGAGCTTGTGGAATACAAAAACAGGGCACTCGCTTCCATGGGTAGGCCCTTGTCATATCTCCATCAAAATATGGGCACTTGATCTCCAGCACTCCTCGGGAAGGCAAATCATAAACACTCCTATCAACCAACCCATCTGGTGAAGCTGCCAACCAATCATCTTCCAGGTTTTTATTGTCATGGACCTGAAAATTAGGAAACAAGACAGTATTTCCCGTAATCAGCTTGTATCTTTCGATAGCTTCCTCTTCTTTGATATTGCTCCAACATGTAGCCAGGTTACCAGAAAATGGTTCAATTGCGCCAATTTTCTCTAACCAGAGCTGGACTCTCCGGCGAGGCCAAAAACCAACAGCTCCAGCAAAAGTGCTTGCCGTCAGCTTATGCTTCCTTGATTCTTGCCAATTTTTGAACCAGTGCTTAAGACTACTTGACTGGAGAACAGAATAAGTCTCACCAGATGCAAAATTCAGAGAATGACAGTGGCTTGAATATCTTCGAGATGCATTGTTAAAACTTTGAACACGAAATGTGAGCCCTCCACCAGTTGATTCTAACAAATTACGAGTGCTATGGGTTTTTTTACAGCTAAAATCAATAAGAAGAGCACTTATATCATGTCTATTCTTGTAATTGTTATACGAAAGCCAACCAACAAGGGGAAAGCAAGAAGCAAATTTTTTACTGCCAAAAAGAAATAAAGTCAGGTAGGGTTAAAGGAATCATCTACATTCATATAATAACATAATACCAGCAAACTCGTCAAATAGGAACTCACTCCCAAATTGATAGGAATTGTGCTAGGCAGTGGTCCCTTTGTGGGTTTGCGTAGAACTCTCCTTGGAAAACCAGCTTACCAAGGGAGGGTGCCTAAGCCCTTATAAACCACATGCCCACCCCTTTTCCCTCTCAATGTGGGATCCTAACATTCTCCAGGGAAAAAGGGTGGGCATGTTGTTTATAAGGGCTTGGGCACCCTCCCTTGGCAAACCGATTTTCCAAGGAGAGGTCTACACAGGCCCACAAAAGGACCACTGCCCAGCCCAATTCCTATCAAAGGCCTACTGCCCAGCTCAATTCCTATCAAAGGCCCACTGTCCAGCCAAATTCTTATCAATTTGAGAGTGGGTTCCTATCAAATGATATTAGAGCAGGCCCTACCTGCTGAGCTCACGTAGCAGGGCCCAGTGGGCCCCCCGAGGGGTTGAGAAGGAGAGTTGCTGATAAGCTTCTAGAACCTAACAAGCTTCTAGGCGAAGTAAGACCCAAAGGGAGGACAGTAAGGCAGATGAGGGCGGGGTAGCCAATGAGCATGGGTGCTCTTTCGAAAGAAGACCAATGAGGGCGTTGGGTCTCGAAACGTGGGGAAATGTTAAGATCCTACATTGAAAGGGAAAAGGGGTGGGAATGTGGTTTATAAGGGCTTGGGCACTCTCCTTTGGCAAGTTGGTTTTCCAAGGAGAGTTTTACCCAAGCCGACAAAAGAACCACTGACCAGCCCAATTCCTATCAAAGACCCACTGCCCAACCTAATTCTTATCAATTTGGGAGGGGTTCCTATCAAATGGACAATTATAAATATCTGAAAGCGTAATTTGACTATATTAATCAATGAAATAGTGGCGCCAGAAAAATCCTTATACAGGATCAAGATTTAGGGTTTTGGTTCTGAGAAAGGCTAAACCGGAGATATGCTTTAACTAAAAGGGGAAAAAATTTCAATCAGTGTGGCCTAAATACATTCACATAATTTCTAATTACAAAAATCATACTCTGTACCTGAACACAAAGAAGGTGAAACATAAACATAAAAATAAAATAAACAACATAATGTTCACATATAAAATAACAAATTAAACTATCTGACTAAAAACACTTCTAGTGCTTGATATTGCACTTTTCACATAAAATTAATTTCGAACTTGAAATAAAATTAATCTCTTAAGCTCCAACTTATCATTATTTTGGCGATAAGATCATTTGTAAATGCAAATATTAATATAAATTAGAGCACAAAATAAAGAAAGAAAAATAATTTGAAAGCTAGCATTGACTAACCGTAGGAGCTTATTAGAGCCACGACACATAGAGACTGCAGAGGGGATGAAATTGAGTCTTGCGTTTTCGATAAATTTCAGTTGATCATTTTTGTCTCCCTAAACAAAAACCAGAGTTTACGAAACAGAAGCCTTCCTTCAATAGTTGAAAAGGGAAAGGGAGGGTTTTAGGAGGAGGGTTTTAGATATCTATGAAAAGGAATCCGAATCCGTTTTGGAATTTCCGGGTATGACCCGGGTGTAGTTTGCAGTTGACAAATGTATACGGTGAATTTCGAAAATGATGATGAAGAAAACTGTCAAGATGCCGGACTCTGTTAGTATAGTCAGGGTAATAGTGTAATTTTCTTGTTTGAGATGCTAAAGCAAGTTAGATTTTGATTGGATAGAAATTATAAAATTAAAAGTAGGTGGGATGGCGATGAACTCTTTAAATCAAATTCATTATATTGTTGGAGTTTAAAAGGTCTAAAAACCTATTAATTATAATTATAATTATAATTATATTCATAACATTAAAACACATCAATTGTATAAGAGTTACAAAATTTAAAATACGAAGAAATTTTGTAATAAGTTACAAAAATAATAATAAAATTATATGAGTTACTAAAAATTTGAATCGGGCTATCTATATTACTAATATAAAGCTGAGNCTCTGATTGAATGGTAAAGAAAGTCAAAATTAAAACGCAGCTACGACACTACCAGTAAATGTGTTAGCACCCTTGATTGCCACTCCCATTAGCAAGCTGCTGTGACTTGTTGATAAAGAAATATATAGTAGTCCGCTCCAGTAAGTATTAGCTAATACTTCCCATTAGCAATTTACATTTTACATGGTCCAAAGGCCTTTTCAGCGTTGGACATTCGCATGTCACATACTCAGTTTATAAAAGCACAACCAAAAGTTTCAAAACTGCATGTTTGCGTATGTGCACTTGATATCATTGCTAACAAGTCCTGTCCAATAATCTTTGATGCCACAATATGAACAAACTAGCTACGCCGAAACTAAACTATTTCAAGATTTTTTACACTTCCAAAACGCCCAAACTCCATCCGCTAACTTAAACTACATGTGGTTATATTTTTACCACGCTTCCCTTGCAACCAGGTCAATCTTATTTTGTCACCTTTCAAAGATATAAAGGTTTCCCTTAAGTTGGGATCATCAAAGAGGTCCAAGGCTGCGAAGTAGAGTTGTTCATCAATGGCTTCCATCTCATCCAGTGCTTTAATGCAATTAGTTATACTAAATCTTTCATCAATCTGTGTTGTCATCCCTGTCCTCAACTTTGAAGCAGCAACCATCTCTAACATAGCTCCGGCCATGGCTTTAAGTATTTCTTGATCTCTTCTGCTTTGACCCAACGAAGTTCGTGTCTCAGATTGTTGTTTCCTTTTTCTCTCGGCTATATTCTTCGTCACCTTCTCTGGTGACAAAGCATTTCCTTGTATCAACCTTGAAGATGATGGATTCTTGGGATGTTGGGTTTCAGCCTCTGGGACTGAATTTAAGATCACATTATTATGCCCAAAAGATTTGTCAAATCCTTCAAAGTGACTTGATTGTGCATATTTCCCATCTGGTGAAGTATCAGTGAAAATTGCACATAGCTGCTCATATATTGGGCAGTCCTTGACTTTAATGGTGTCTGGTCTGGGCTGTGCCTGCAAAAACAATCTATCAGGACACAGAAAAATATTGTTTAAAAGAAAAAGAAGTCAAATCCCAGAAGTAAAGAAGTCACCGCAATGTCTTCCCACAGGTCAAATCCAATGCAACAAGAGTCCTCAATAGCAAAGTCGTTTGGATTATAAGCAGACTTCAGATTATAGTAGCGTGTCCGTAGAACATCTAGGTGCTTTCTCAATTGGTTGTTATTGAAGTTGAGTTCTGTTTGCCTGTTAAACTCATCACGAATATGATTCCACGTTTTCTTGTCGAAAACATTATTTGGTCTGTTTCCCAGTTGAATCTGCTTGACTACCAGGTCCGCAAATACCTTGTCCAGTGATGCCGTCCACCTTGTTCTTGAACGTTCTTGCTTGTGCTGTTGACTGGCTTCACTATCCATCCACAACTGCATAATACACATTTAGAAACCATGACATACAAGTAAAGCATGATAATTTTAGAACACCTAGCTAAAAAGCATCCACACAGTTTGCCTATCATATGCATGGTTTAAGGAAACCTAGCAAGCAATGATTGGATAGGTTGTAAAGACGACATCAGGTACCGGAGCAGAGAGTGCTTCGTTTCAATAACAAACTATCAGAACTTCAACAATATATATAAATTACATAATTGGCTGTAGTAAAAAAAAAAAATTTACCTATATATCTATATATTATTCATAATTTCTTATCCACTCAAAAGCAAAAGGAAGTAACAATGAGAAAAGTTAGATGTTAATGTATTAGAGATACTTATTAAACTTCATTACCTGTAGTTGATTTTCCACCCAGGTGATCTCTTTAGTTGGTGCATGTGAAATGTCAGTTGTGCTTCTACTCTGAAAATACACATCACAAAAACAAAAAACTATTCCTTATCAACAATGTAACAATCTGGATAAAACCAAATAAACATGAGAAGCAAACAATCTTATTTCATTTGATCCATCAGATAACAATTGGATAAAAAAAACTCTGCAACCAAAAAATGCCAGAGAAAAAAAAAATACAAACACACACATAGAGAGCGCGAAATATACCCAATTGCCCACAACTTTAAACCCTAAAAGGCTAAAACAAAAGACAAAGACAATACTAACCCAACAACAATCAAAAGCTACATCCTGCAAAAACTAGCTTCCATGCGGAAATAAGTCAACTTGATTTCATAAATGGTATATATACAGAAAATATACTCTCAAATCTCCGGTACAATCTAAATACGGGGAAGATAAATATTTAAAAATGGCCGATTATAAGAAAAGAGTTTAATGATATGTTAAAAATCCTGAGAACGACATTGATGGATGTTGGTTTACCTGAACGGAGATTTTGCCGGGAAACCGGAGAATGGCGAGAGAGGGGTGCTTGCCTGTTGCCTCCAATCCCGTCTTTAACCAAAAAAAATAAAAAATATGTTTTGGTTAGTGAACAAGCATTTTGCGGAAACTTAAGTCAAGGAAACATGTCATTAGCTAATTGGGTGTTGCAATTGCACACATAATTTCACCATTTTATAAAACTAATTAATACTATTAAATGGTAAGATAAATTTTGTTAGTGAAATCATTTTTAGGTTAAAGTAATGGTTTAATTAACATATTTAGAACATTTATTGTTTTACTTAATGGATTAAACAGTTATTAGTAATAGAAAATGATGACCAATGTAACGTTGAATTACTGAAATCTATATTCTAATACAATAATGCTACGGACATCGATACTATGCACCAAATTGTTACACTGAATTACGTGTCATGTGAATCAAACCAGCCACGTATCCCATGAACCAATATTTTGCGAGTAAACGGCCGTTCATCACCTATGGACGGTTGTTCACTGTTATGGGACGCCAATCCAAAACTCAGGGAAGGCCGTCCATAACTGATGAACGGTCGCCCCTGAATTTTGTATACAATTGTATTTTTTTTTTTAATTTACAGAGTGGACGCCCATTCAAAACTCAGGGATGACCGTCCATAACTGATGAACGGGCATCCCAATATTGTAAATTAAATAGTATTTTATTTAAAGTATGGACGGGTGTCCATTATATGTGGACGCCCGTCCACTTTTTAGGGATGGTTGTCCATAAACTAGAAACACCCGTCCATACCAAGAAGTTTGATTTCCTAGAAGAGATTTGGGAGAAATGTGTCTTGCTGGATTTGGCCCAACTAATAACAAGTGTATTGAGTTAATTTTAAGTTGTGTTAAGTCAAAGAAGCTGAGAAAAGCTTTTGATATTATTCAGACCATGAGGAAGTTCAAATTCAGGCCTACTCTTTCAACTTACACAACTTTGATTGGTGCTCTTTCTGTAGTTCATGAATCTAATCTCACGCTTGCTCTCTTTCATCAAATGCTGGAGCTAGGTTATGAGGTTGATGTTCATCTGTTTACAACTCTTATCCGTGTTTTTGCCAAGGAGGGTCGTGTTGATGTTGCTCTCTCTTTGTTGGATGAGGTGAAGAGTAACTCTTTTCATGTTGACGTTGTTCTTTATAATGTATGTATAGATTGTTTTGGTAAGGTAGGAAATGTGGATCTTACTGGAAATTCTTTCACGAGATGAAAGCAAATGGGCTAGCACCTGACGATGTAACTTATACCAGTATGATAGGGGTTCTTTGCAAAGCTAACATACTAGAGGAAGCTATGGAGTTGTTTGAGCAGATGGACCATAATAGGAAAGTTCCATGTGTATATGCTTATAACACCAAGATCATGGGTTATGGCTCAACTGGAATGTTTAATGAAGCATACAGTTTACTTGAGAGGCAAAAGGCAAAGGGGTGCATACCAAGTCAAAGAAGCTAAGGGAAGCTTCTTTAAGTATGAACGGGCGTCCATTTTATGTAGACTCTTGTCCATAGTAAATGGACTCCCCTCCATATAATATGGACGGGAGTCCATCGTTCATTTCTCATGGATCAGCGTCTACATATAATAGACTCCCGTCTAATAACAATGAACGACCGTCCATAGGTGATGAATGACCATTCACTCGCAAAATATTGGTTCATGGGATACGTGGCTAGTCTAAGTCATGGGACATGTAATTCGGTGTAACAATTCGGTGCACTGTGTCGGTGCCCATAGCATTGTTGGTTCAAATATGAAGCTGAGGCATAAACTATCTTATTGCCATTTTGAAGCTCTAGAATTCTTTTATTTTGACATGGTGGAATAATGTTGGACATGTGGCCTCATGTAATTGGTAATGACGTGGTATTTTTTCATTTTGCTGTATGTTATTGGTGATGATGTGGGATATTTAGATGAGTTGGATTTTTTGTTACATATGGCTTATTAATGACACATATTAATAACTTTAATCATTGATGTTTTACATTCACATTAAATGCGTTTGTTTCCATAATTTTGCCTTATCCTATTCTTATCATTTTCAAAATACACGTTTGTTTTCTTATTTTGAAAATACTATTATATTTTATTCAGTTATTTTTAAACCCCCTACGTTTGTTAATTTAACTAAACACTCCAAAAAAGAAGTTTAGAAATTGACAAAAACACCCCCACCCACCCACATTTGTCAGATTTTGGCCACCACCGTCGGAAGGTGGTCAGAATCTGGTTTAGTGACGCACTGCTGACTAGATCTGGCTGATCGTGTGCCGATATAGTCTTTTTCAGCATACCCGTGGTGAATTTGGCCGGAAAAGGCTAGATATACGGCCAAAGATCTGGTCGTTGATGGCCAGATCTTTGATCATAGTTAGTCCTCAACGACGGTCAAGATATGGCCATCGTTGACCATCAGCGACGACCATATCTTTGGCCGTCATTGAAGACCAAACGCAGCGAGATCTGGCCATCAATGGCCAGCTCTAACCGTAGATTTGGTTAGAAAATGCCATCTCGATGCACGACCGGCCAGATCTAACCGATCGTGCATCGATACTGCAACTTCGGCCACCCTCTGGTGATGGCGGCCGACTATCGGTATTTAATGGGTGGGTGGAAGTGTTTTTTTAATTTTCATGTTTTTATTACAGGGGTGTTTAGTAAATTAACAAACCTAAGAGGTATTTTTGTTAATTTACAAATCATACCTCATTATTACCACCCAACTCTTACTTTTTCAAAATACTAAAACAAATGCATTCATTTATATAGAGATAAATTTATGTGAATGTAAAGAGATTTATACGTTGTATGTGTTTGATATTAATGTGAAGGGTTAGAGATATTCATGTGAATATGAAGGGTTTGATAAGTTTAATTTTTGATACATTGTATGTGTCATGGGATGCTGTTTATGTGGAATCAATATAAAAGGTTAGAGATATTAATGAGAATGTGAAGAGATTGATACGTTGTATATTTCAAATGGATTGGAATCATATATATTTGTAGATATTTTTATGGTTTGGTACATTATTACCAGCAAGTAAAAGTGGTATAAGTATTCCATATTAAATTTGTATATATTTGATATCTTATGTTCATGCCAGTTTATTGTCAATATTTTTTTCTTGAAATTTGATGCAAGTATATACGATTTGTGGGATAAACGAAGCTGCTGCTCATAGTTGTTGGAATATATATCCCGTTAAATGTAATAGCTGTTTTTATTATTTTATTGTGAGACACCACAATAATTGCACCTGATAGTTGTATATGTTGATTCATTCTAAATATTTTTTCCCTGAAATTTGATTGTAGCCGAACCATATCGAATTATTAGTCTACCCACAATTGTTGTAGTTTGAATTTTAAGGTTCAATAGCCGAACCATCTTTTGCTCGCCGCATTTTATCATTCTTTCGCTGCCAAACCATTCATTTTGTCATTACACACATTTCAATTTTTACTGAATAATCAGTAGTGAATTGGTTATAACTTGCTCAAAAAAAATCTAATTTATGAGAGGTTTGAATATTTGGAAACTAGACAAACAAAGCTTTAATTTTATATATTATACGCATAATTTGGATAACTGTAGACCCACTGCTGAACCATTCATTTTATCATCATACACATTTCGGTTTCCATTGAATGGTTGACCATAATTTGCTCAATAAAAATTCATTTGATGAGAGGTTTAAATCTTTGACAACTAGACAGAAAAGGGCTTTAATTTGATATATTATACACTTAATTTGGATAATTGTAGACCCACTGCCAAACTATTTCTTTTATCATCACATACATTTCGATTTTCACTGAACAATTTATAGTTAATTGACAATAACTTGCTCAATAAAAATCCATTTGATGGACGGTTTGAATCTTTGGAAACTAGATAGACATGACTTTAATTTGATATATTATACGATGAATTTGGATAGCTATAGACCTACTAGCAAACAATTCATTTTATCATTACACAAATTTTGATTTCCCTTGTTTATTGGGTTCCACTGAACAGTCAGTAATAAATGACCATTTCAAGATGAACAGGCGAGGGTTTGTGCCATAAGATCGAATTCAATTTTAGTGATGAGAAAGGAAAACAAATGTGATATGTAGTTTTAATTGTATTTGTTCTATCTCTCTTTGTTAATATTTTTTTCTGTTACATAAATATATCATGAAAAGAGGTTGTTGTTGAATATAACTAATTTTATTTTTTTCTCAAATATCATTTGATGTTTGATACCGAATCATGTAGCTTTAGTAAACTATTTATAATATGTCGAACCATTATTATTATCTTTAAAAAAAAGATTGAATCATTGTTATTATCTTTAAAAAATCCACCATTTAAATTACTATTGCCAATACAAAAAATATGCTTAACAATGTTTAATTGAAACAATGTGCCTATTTAAATTAGTATTGCCCATTCAAAAAATTGTCGAACCATTGTAATATGCCGATCAATTTGTATTATTCGGAACCATTGTAATATGTCAAACCATTATTATTATCTTTAAAAAATTCACCATTTAAATTACTATTGCCTATTCAAAAAAATATGTTGAATAATGTTTAATTTTGATCACCACACACATTTTGGTTTCTCCTGTTTTTTGGTTTCCACTGAACAGTCAGTAGTAAATTAACCATAACTTGCTCAATAAAAATCCAATTGATGAGCAGTTTGCATATTTAGAAACTAGTCAGATAGGGCTTTAATTTGATATATTATATGTTGAATTTGGATAGTTGTTGATCTACTGTCAAATCATTCATTTTATCATCATACACATTTTGGTTTCCACTAAACAGTCAATAGTAAATTAGCCATAAATTACTTAATAAAAATCTAATTGATGAGAGGTTTAAATCTTTAGAAATAAGACAGACAGGGCTTTAATTTGACATATTATATGCTTAATTTTGATAATTATAGACCCACTGCTGAACTATTCATTTTATCATCATATACATTTCGATTTTCACTGAACAGTCAGTAGTAAATTGGTCATAACTTGCTCAATAAAAATCTAATTGATGAGAGGTTTGATCTTTGGAAACTAGACAGATGGGGATTTAATTTGATTATGCTTAATTTGGATAACTGTAGACCCATTGTTGAACC